AATACACATATCGGACGTGTTGGACAGGCTATGGCATCTTCTGAGGAGGAAGCCTACGAGATCATGCAGGAGTTGGATGTGGATTACGTGCTGGTCATTTTTGGTGGCATGTTGGGTTACAGCTCTGACGGTTAGTTACTGTTATCTCCATTGCCAGGATTGCTTTGTTACTGCTGGTTCTTCGATTTAGATAAGCCTAATTCATGGAAACTTCCTACCTGAAATGTCACTGTCTATTTTGAGGAACGAAGTATCTTTAGCCTTTGTACGACAATGTACGGGTTGCAGAGTAGCAGCCTTTTGACACCTGGTTACCGATGGCTCCGTGCAAGTTCATTTGCGGTTTATTCGTTTTTGTTGTTGTTGTAACTTTCGTTTTCATACATCCATGTGAGGTGGAGAGATTTCTTTTATATCCGTTGAATCAGGCGATAGATATCATCTGCCTACCGAAAGTTTTCATAGGGAATATGTCCTGAGGGACACAGCAATTTACCAGTTCATGGGTGCTACTCTCGTCAAATTTCATTCTTTGGCTAGTGTGGTTTCCACCCGTATTGTATTGTGCATGCATCGGAGCATACCGTGTCATTCCTATTTTCAGTATGTTTCGAGCGAACTAGAGGAACCTCTTACCTCTTATAGGCATGGTTAAGGGGATTAACAAAATCAGCCCAAAACTTTGATGCGGTAAGTCCGATAATAAACTAGTAGAAACCGTGATCGTGCACCTGACGTCGATAATCCACTCAGTTGCCTGACTTAATGAGTGACGGAATAAGTGTATCACTTTCCAAACTATATTTTTGATTATGATAATTGAGTGCTCCGTCTAAATTGTTGTCGTTGTCTTAATCTTTAAATTTCCTATCAGTTATATTTATTCAAAAATGAACCCTTGTCGATATTGTTTTGCTGTTTTCGTTAGGGCCACGATGACAGAACCAGTAAAATACAAGCCGTTTTGTCTTCCGGTAGAACGACCAGATCACAGGTGCTTGTTGATTGGTGTTAGGTACCAACGCAACTTCTCTGGCTCCATAGATGATTGGGGTATCAGTTGCACCGAACCCCGTATTGACGTCTCCACATGTAGCGTTCATCGTGCTTGTTGATGATCAAACCATTAGAGAAGGGGGCCATCACTGATCACCTAACTATTGGTCCCATCCTGTTGTGTGGATGAACCCGGTCTGTTTTTATTAGTGATTGAACAAATTCGTGTTGGTGTGTCTCTGACTAGGATGATTACTGCCTATTGGCTCTGAACCCAATACCTATTAGTCCACTGTACAGTTGATTTGACTCTTTTCAGCGCTCCCCGTTCATAGTCAAGAGCCCAGCATACCGACTGTTCTTCACAATTAATGCCTACATTCTTACCCGTTTCTGGTAATTTATGCGTTCACTTCCCTGTAAAGCGTCTCTCCTAAACCTTTTCTGGCGAATCTCTACTCACTTTCCTATGGTGGCTAGGGTTTTTTCATCCAAGTAAGAGGGTGAGAAGCCCAAATCAAGGCCACTGAGCCACGGGAAATGACCTCATCTAAATGGGACTGAAAACCCTGATTTACAAATCCCCAAACGGTACGCGAACTAACCGCTTGATCGTAAAGGTACTCGATTCAAATGAACATGAAGACCTTCTCGGAGTTAAACCACTAGAGACTGGTCTTCACACACTTTCCTGCCACCTTGTGGGTAGAGTTTTGATTGTAAAACTGGGCGATACTCTACCCCAGAATAGACTGCGTGTCTTTGGTAAATTTCGAAATATCGATATCCCATATGCCGGTACGTTATTTGGATTCGTGAATTCGTTGTGGAAGTCAACGGAAAGTGCCCAGTTCACAAAAGTACTGCGTCATTCGACATTTCGCTTGTTGTGAGCAGTGTGATACCTCAAATGTTTGGTTATTTTGTTCGCAACACCATGTAGTCGCGTTACAAATAATCGCCTGAATCGAAACTGGCGCCCCAGCTTGTATTGTTTCATCACTCATTTTCCAGATATCAACAAGTTCATTTGGATGGTGCGTATCGCCGGTAGCACCGAGAAGGGGCGACACATCCGCGAAGAGGACTACTACACTCCGTATGGCGAGATGCGCGTAGACAAATCAGTCTCGACAACAATGGCGAATTGTCTCATGTACAAACTGAGCTATTATCGTTTCTGGGAAATCCAACCGGATAGAAGTAGGTTTTGTTATTGTCTTAAAAATGAATTACAGGTTCCCGAGTACTGTCATGGCTTTTTATTTTCAGTGTGAACCCCATTATGCTGAGCCTGCCGGTCTCAATTTTCACACTCGGTTTCTGTACTTACTGCCCTCTAATAATACTTGATGCAATTACAATGGGTATCGGTGTTCAGCCGTCTGGTACCAACAGCAGAAATCTAACAGTTTTCTTCTAGTAGCATACCCGTTTTTTGTTGTCGGAAATTTTCGCCGAGGAATCAGTTCATTTAGGCCTATTGGTTTCGTCATTTGCACCAATAGGTGATATGTTTGCAATGGTTCACGAAATTTTTCGCGCTGGAGTACCGGAACAACTCTGTTATTCCCAGTAATCTGTATCTCCGAAAACAACATTCCAGTACATGTCAAACTGTCCGTTTTCTGAAACTTCATATTATTTTTACTCTATGATATGCTGACTAGTAATTAGACGAGTAAATGAAAACCACGCATTATAACTTCATTGGTCTACTTCTCGAATGTGCGCACAGGTCAACCACCCGGATTCGATCGTGTCCGCGGGCAAGCCATCGGACACCGGAATTACGCTCTAACTGGCCTGGAAGAGNAAATTGGCTTGTGCGTATCTACCGAGTAAAGCCGCCAGCAAATCGTGGAACACTGTGAGACCCTTACCCTGACGTAGAATTATTTCATGCAACAACTTCCGTGCGAACTTTTTTAAGCCTCCTGTTCTCTTTTACTGTCTGATTTGATATCTGTTAAATAAAATGTGGGAAGAAAAGCTTCTGACTTCCATTGTTGTCTTTACATCACACGAAAACATAGGAATAGGGACAGGAACAATCGTAACGCCGCACCGCACTATATAGCATTATCACATCAAAATTGGGGGGAGCAGGGAAGAATCAAGACGCAAAAGAACGTAGAGAAGATAGCGAAGTGTCATTCGGACAAAATACACCAGATAACATACCGAACATGCGGTGGTAACAATGTCCAGTTGACTGTACAAAACAGCAAAAACTGTATGAGCGCCCGGAAACTACTAATCAACCGAAGCGAAATAACGCGATCAGTTCAAATAAGAGTA